GAGCACTAATCTCCATATTCAATTTTGCTTGAGGGAATGAACACTTTCAACCAGGCAGGCAAAACAGTTAGCTTAAGTTGAAAGAGAAGCCCAATTTGTGATTCTGTGATTCAGCTTTAATTTTTATTTACTCCATGTGATACTCTTGTAAAACCATTTGGATGCTACTTATTCATTATTCAGTAGAAGGCATTGAATGATCTATGTAACTATTTAGAAGGGACTCATCTTTGTTCTCTCAGAATCTTTTGTGATTCCAATCCCATCTTGGCCAACAATTATAGAATAGTTTAATTTAGGGAAAGTTGTATTAATCCACATCAATATCCACAAGTAAAATATTACACTGAAAAGAGCTGATGTTTGGATTGCAAAAAGCTGTCTTATGATTGAATAATTTAGCTCAAAAGACTGAGTTCCACAAGCTTTTCAGATTTCAGCAAAACTCTTTCTCACTATTTCTTGGAAATGCAGTGGACTGAATCTAGGACATTTTGCATGGAAAAGACAAATTCCACCATTAAGCTATAACTTAACTGTACCCCATATCAGGTACAGAGAAGTAGCTGTCATAGCTTATTTGAATGAGAGTCAGGGAGCAATGCACTGGAATTTCACCCCAGATCACTGGGAAGTCTTTTCAGCAAGCATCTATCTGACCTTGCTACATCCCTAGCCATCACTGACCACATATCATTAGGCTTTGGAAATGTTACTAGTGATCAAACTATGAAGAGAGATAGAAGTCCATTAATAACCACCCTGACCACCTCTTCTATATGAACACAGGCATAGGTTTGCAAGTATTATTGATAGTTAAGCCAAGTTTAAAATTTTGTATCACCTCTCAGCTTGCTTGCTCTGAATATGGCTAATTTATTGTCTTCTGCACTTCTGCTGCTGCCATCTACTGTATTATGGATGGGATTGCATGTACTTAACATGAAGGGGTTACACTGGCTGATTTATTAGAGGACAAGAAGAAAAGCAGATTTAGCTGTTGTCGTGGGTCCAACAAACATGGTAAAATCTCTTATTTTTTGCAGTGGGACATTTCATTTGAAATGATGAGCTTTGAATGCTACTTTTCAAAATATGTACACACATTTAGAGAAACACTTATTTCCCAAAATGCATGAACACACATGTTTTGCATGGACATGATTTGCTGCTTGACTGCATGCTTTTGAGAGATTGTTCTGCAATAGCTTAGAATATTGAATTTTTGTTTGCTGTTCTTTGGAAACATATACAAGTACACCCAATCAAGCTAACCTATTGTATAGGGTCTAAAAAGGCAAATGAGCAAGATATGAGTACGTTATTTTAATTCCAAAGTGATAGAACTATGAATCTTTAGAAAAGCTCTCATCGTATAATGAGTTACTGGCTGAGAACTGTTCAGTGCATGTTATTGTTTTTAATTTATTTTTCTAATGGCACATGTAGCTTAATACAGTGTTTCTCAACCTTGGCAACCT